ACTTGGGCTTGATCTCCCAGAGGCTCCTGCAGCCAGAGTGGGAGATCTGCCACTAGCAGTCGGGCAGCACAGCAGGGGTAAGGCGACTCCCCCCTGTGCTACTCCTGGAAGTGGCTGGCATGGCCCTGCAGCCCCTGGGGGAGGCCGGGCAGGGAGGCTTCATGTCCCCCAGCCAATGGGAGATGTGGGGATAGTGTCTGCAGATGGAGGGTGGAGTATGGAGCCACCTGCCCATCCCTCTTCCTCAGGAGCTGCTGCTGGACATGCCAACTGTTTTCAGAAGTGGAGCAGAGCCAGGGTGATGGAGAACCTGACTTAGGCCCACTGTGCCACTGCCCAGGAGCTGCCTGAAGTAAGCGGTGTCCTGAAGGAGCCTGTATCCTGAACCCCTACCCCAGCCTGGTGAAAGTGAGTGAGGATGGGAAGAGTGAGCAGGTGAGGAAGGAGGTGGGAGAAGAGTATGGGGGTTGGAAGGAGATCAAGAAGTGATCTTTTTGTCCTTAAGTTTTCAGACCACTGTCCTGAAGTCAGGATGGGCAGCAGCAAAGTGAGAGCACTGGGAAAAAACTGAACAGCTGGGGCTGGCACAGAAGCTTCTCCAGTGGTGGGTCTTCAGTAAAAGAGGGGCGTGTGCTCTTTCTTGTCAAGCTTACAACAAAACTTTATTCATCCACCCCCGAAGTGGGAAAGGATGTGTCCTGAGCCTTACCCACAAAGGGGAAAAGTCTCCGCTTCCACAGCCAGGCTTTTCAGTATGCAATCAGTGCAGGAGGTTTAATCATCTCAGCATCCAGCTTCAGAATGCCTGTGGCTTTCAGTGTTTATACTGGGTACATAATTCCAGGATTCTGTTCTCCAGTTCCGAGTCTGAGCCCTGCTCTATACTACAAGCATATGGCAGTAGTGTTCTGTCCCTCGGGGAAAACCTCTTCCATTAGCATAGGTAACATCTTCGCTAAGCAGTATGGGGGCGCAGCTGCAGCACTAAGTGAGATGAGCATTAAGTATCCCGGATTTAGTTCAGTCAGAATATATTAGGGCCGGAAGAAAAGATTCGCCGTCAGCCTAGAAACTGTTCTGCAATAAAAGGGGGGGAAATCATGAAAGACCCTGGCTTTTAGCCTCCCATACTGCAGATTTTATTTTCAAACTTCAGATGATGATCAGTCTTTTAACCCCAGATAAATAATCCTTCTTTTCCCTTCAGAGTTGGTATTTGAGTAGAAATGTAAGTTTGAAGCACACTGAGTTAATTTCATCCTACCTTTATTTTCTCTCCATATGGTGTCACTGTTGCATATCAATAAAGAAATGTAGATATTCCTTGTGTTCAGCAGACTCTGCAGTTCATAACTTATGCATAAAAAGTGAGAGTGAAAGAATTGTCAAAACAAGAAAGCAAACTCTAGGTGGCTCGTTGCCTTACAGGGGTTGTAGGCATCTGATTCACCAGGGAGGGTCGGTCCATATCGGAATTTTGGGCTAAGCAAAACATTTATGTGTATTTGGAACTTTAGGAATGCAAGTGATCCCGTTGGCTTCAGTGTCGAAAATGCAGCATGCTTTTCTTCAGCATGGGGTGTGTGTGTGTGGAGGGGAATACTTGGTTGTCATGGTGCTATTAACATGCGTAAGTTATGCCCATTCATAAGTGCTTTGCAGCCTTGGGGGCCTAGTGAAGACAATAATCCTACCCTGGTAGAAGGATGAACAAGGTGCCCTTTTATTCCTTTTCCATTTTTAATTTCAAAGTAGGATGACATTTTGTGTGGGAGTCTGGGTTTAGGAGCGGACTCTCTGCTAATGAGGAGGTAAAGTGCTAATGCTAGGAGCAGCGTGCTGTTTGCTCTGCTGTGGTTAGTCAACGAGCGAGAACATTTGGTTTCTCTCTCTCTGGGGGGGGCAAACATTACTCCTTCCCTGGTGCTATCTCTTAGCAGTCAGTGGTGCTTGTAAATCAATGCAATAGCGAGACGTCTGCTCTCAACGCATCACAAGTTAAGAACGTGGTGTGTAGTGTGTCTGCTGAGGGATAAGCCAGGTAAGGGGGGGAATCCAGTACTTAATATTAACTTGTCCCCTAGTATCGCTGCCAGCTAATCAGCAGTAACATTTGGGGGATATAAAAATCCCTACCAAAGCCATACTGGAGCAGAGAAATGAAAAGTTCGGTTTTTTGGGGTTTTTTTAAACTAAAATATGTTTCATTTAGCAAGCCTGAAATACCGTTAGGCCGTTGGTAAGATGCTCTAGTCTCACTCTGGTGGCTTAATAGACTGCAGGAGGCCAAGAGAGTTCCCTCAGTGCGGGCACTCCTCTGGGCTGCTCGAAAGCTGGGTGTATCAGATGTTTGTCCATGGCCCCTATTGCGGTGACAGTACAAGACACAGCCAGCCCGGGGGAAGGTGCCATAACTTAAAGCCAGTCCTGGTGCTGCCTTCATCTATGTCAACACTGGAAACTGAATGACAAGACTTTTGTTGTTTGCAGCTGGAGAAATGACACCTCCTAAGAAAGTCAAAAGTTTTGCCATTGAGTGCCAATCAGCGGGGCCTGGGGGCCAGGGATGGGCAGGCCTGGCTCTGCACTCCTGGAAGGGGAAGGGCTGAGGGCAGGCAGCCCTTCAGGCTGCCCAGAGTTCAGTGCTGGGATTCCTCCTCCCGTCCAGGCCTCATAGCTGCTTGGAGTGTCTCATAGCTGCATGACTTGCTCTCTGGTGGCAAGTGAAAGGGGCCCAAAGCTCCCAGCTGCCACTGCTGCTGTGCTCCTGCAGAGGCTGTTCCATATCCCTAGTCATTTCTGTTACCTTTCTCTGTACCTTTTCCAAATCCAAGATATATTTTTTGAAATGGGGGGTGTCCAGATCTGCATGCAGCATTCAACATGCGGACCTATGGATTTATATACAGGTAATATGGGACTTTGTCTTATCGACCCTTTTCCTAAGGATCCCCAGTATTCTATCTGCTGTTTTGATTGTCACTGTGCATTGAGCAGGTGTGTGTTGGAGAAATATCTGTAGGGATTCCAAGATCTCTCGATGCACAACAGTTAATTTAGACTGAAATATTGTATGTATATTTGGGACTGTATTTTCCCCATGTGCATTATTTTGTATGTATCAGCTTGGAATTTCATCTGCCATTGTGTTGCTCACTTACCCAGTTTTGCGACCTTCTTTTGTAGCTCTTCAGTCTCCTTTGGACTTAACCATTTTAGTTAATTTTCCTGCAAACTTTGCCATCTCCTTTGCCCTTTCCCCAGATCACTCATGAACATGTTGAACAGCTCTGGTCCCAGGACTGACCCTTAGAGTAAACCACCATTTGCCCCTCTCTATTCTGAAAACTACCCATTTAGTCTCACCCTTTAATTGCGATCTTTTAACCGGAGTGGCTGGTGATGCTTTCAGAACCCTCTAACCATACTTAATTTAATTGATGACAAACCTTCTGTTAGCTTGATCACCCTGTGTCTGTTTATAAACAATGTCCTTGCCACAAGGGCAGAAGCTGGGAGCAGCTTAAAACTCATTGCTTATGTACGAGTGGGCGGTCGCGAGTCTAGCCGCCCCTCCCCCTCGTGCTCCTGTAGTCCAGTCTTAGTTCCTAGTCCCGCTCACTAATTCCCGCACTGGCGTCTGGTGCTTGACACTGCGACCGATGCGGGGGTAGGGGGGCCCGGGCCCGCCCTCTCTCACGGGCCCCAGCCCAGGGCCCTAAGGACAGGATAGCCCGATCCTGTCCAGCCAGCGGAGCTGGTGCCCGAAACTCACCGGCTCCAAGCCCCGCCCTGGGCTACTTCCTACCCCGCAGTCCTTCCCTGGCTCTGACCCAGCCCCGGCTGGTCTCGCCTCCCTCCGTGGACCTCTCTGGCTGCCGGGCTGCCTCCACGCTCCTCCTCCTCCTCCCTGTTGCTGCCAGCTTTTCCCTTTTTAAACGCTGCACCGGCGCCTTGCCGGCGTGACGTCACTAGCCGCCCTAGTCGCAGGTCTCCACCCTGCTGGCTCCTCCCCCCACCACTCAGCTGAGCAGCAGCGGCCATCCAGGGGCCGCACACCGCTCACACCTCCTGGTCTGCCAGGTCAGTGCGGGGTGGATCTGCCTCCGTGGGGTGGGGGCAATCCATCCCGTCTCAACCTATCACACTCAAGATCTGCTGCTGTTAAGGGCTTCACCTTGGGCTAGGGCATGTGCTGTCAGCCAACCTTGGTATGAAGCTGGGTGCAGGGAGAGCCTCCACACCTCTTCTCAATGGCATGCTGTCTGTTAGAACAGAGCAAGGGTTGAGGAAATGTGCAGCGCCTGACTCCCTCCCCTGCACCAGCCACTCGGTGGGGTTCTTTCCCTGACTACCTGCCAGACACTTTACATTCATTGTTGCTCATCCTAAATCACAGCAAGCTTAATTCATAACCCAGCAGCGACAGTTTGCCAGGGCTGCTTCAGTGTGATAGATTTAACGGTGTAACTAGTAAAGAGCAGGCAGATGCTGGGTGGAAAGTAGCACCTTACTGTCTGTATCTATAAATATAGATGGTTTCTCCCATCATATTTAAGGCCAGAGGCCTGTGAATAGTTAAGCATCTTGGCTGTGTCTAGACTGGCCAGTTTTTCTGGAAAATCAGCCACTTTTCTGGAAAAACTTGCCAGCTGTCTACACTGGCCACTTGAATTTCCGGAAAAGCACTGACTTCCTACTGTAAGAAATCAGCGCTTCTTGCGGAAATACTGTGCTGCTCCCGTTCGGGCAAAAATCCCTTTTGTGCAAAGCTTTTGCGCAAAAGGGCCGGTGTAGACAGCTCAGATTTGTTTTGCGCAAAAAAGCCCCAATCGCGAAAATGGCGATCGGGGCTTTGACCACGGACGCTTTTCCACAAAAAGTGCTTTTGCGAAAAAGCGTCCGTGCCAATCTAGACGCTCTTTTCCGAAAATGCTTTTAACGGAAAACTTTTCCGTTAAAAGCATTTCCGGAAAATCATGCCAGTCTAGACGTAGCCCTTGTGTTAGGCATGAGGGTTTTTTCCCCCCCGTGATACTACTTATATGCAATATGTGAAACATGTCTGAAGGATCTGGGCCTACATTGGAAAGGAGCCTTTCTCAATCATGACTGTGGAAGATGTGGGGAGAGGAGAGGGAAGAGTACTGAAGTAGAGAAATGAAGACATCCATTACCCTGATTTCTTCTTACTATTATTTCTTATGCAGCTTCAAAAATCTCCTAAAGATTTCTTTTCCTTATGTAACTGGGAAAATCTATGCACAAATCACATTTCCTCACTTTGTATAAAAGTTTAATAGACCTATATTCTAGCCTAAAAGAAATCACATCATCAATGTAAACTTTAAGATCTAATCAAGTCTACCTTGTCATCCCATTTGGGAAACTCCAGTCATGAAGAAAATGTCATCTATAAATGGGCTATGTACTTA